TTTAATCTCTTTAGCGGCTATTGTCAGGCTGGGGGCAGGGCTGATGGGTGGGTCGTTAGAGTAGTGGGGGGTGGGGGAGGGAGAGGTGTCAGGGGCAGCATCAAAGCGACGTAACCCAGTGGCCTCCCTATATAAACCAGATCTGTAGTTTCACCTTCGCCGTGTCATGACCAATCCACTTAACAGAACAAATTCATTTCATTCCAGTGTCAAAATCTCTTCACCACCGTCCTCGCATCTTCAATGGCAAATTAACAGAGGCATTCTGAAATCACGTGGGCAATATGTGGTGAGTGTCGAGAAGGGCATTCCCATTAAAGAAATGATGTAAGGTGTCATACTCGTCATTCCTCTTTTGACCTGACTCCATACTTTGGCCTTCAATATCTCCCCACTTCCATCATGAACTAATGACAGTCAAAGAACTAAAAACAGCATCACTACTCTTCCTCAAATTAGAGCTATCCTATTAGAACATTTGTATTGTTAGCTGTTTTTTTTTCAATTTCCTGACATTCTAGTTTAAGTTTTTTTATTACATCCATGAGCTCTTTAGCTTAACCCAAATGCAACACATGTTTCTGGACCTGTGCTAATATTTGGTGCATGCTTGAATCAAAGCAAAAGTTATTTTTCTTTTATAGCAAAAACTGTGCTTGTCATCTTCCCAAACTGCAGGCTTCTCTATGATTGGCCAGTCTCAGTAGCAGAAGAATCAGATGAGAAAAACATTTCTCAAGAATACATATATAATATTGCTTCTGATTATTTTGTTCCAAATCACACATTTTGATAGGGTTCACTAAAACACGGTGACAAACATGCCTTTAAAATACTGATGTGGAGCTATCTGGATTCTGCCAACTCCATTTTTCCTTCGATGGTTTTCAGAATGTTTACTTCTTTAAAATCAAAGGCCAACATTGCGGTAGTGGATGGTACAATATAATCTTTGATCTTTTTACGGCTTTCATGTGAAAAAAAGAAAATGTGGTTTAACAGGTGTGCTACAAGCTAAAGCTGTTTCAGCAAAAATGCATATTCTTATTTCACCAAGATGAAGTGAAAGAGATTGTTTTGTCTTTGTTTTGTCACAACACTTTATATCTTAGTCATGTCATTCTTTGAACTCCTGCTTTAGACGGTGTCATAAACCTTTTCTCTCAATTTATATCATGAGGATTATATTCAGTTCAGTTCAGTTCAGTTTATTTATTTGCCATTTGCAGTAAAAAACCACATTGGAATACGTTAGCAAAAAGTCTCCAGTGTGCACAGACAAATACAGACATAAAACAACATTAAAAGACAGAAATAAAACAAATAAAACAGTAAACAAATGTCACTGTGAAATCAATCGACTAAAACAGTTTCAAAACAAGTGCAAATCATTAAAGTGCTCTGTTCACACTGATAACAGCTTGTGGATAAAAACTGTTAGCGTAACGAGCCTTCCTGCATCTCAGAGAGCGATATCTTCTGCCAGAGGGAAGAAGCTGGAACATTGCTTTTCCAGGGTGGCCAGAAGAGTCATTGACAATCCTAAGAGCTTTGTTTAAAAGTCTGGATTTATAAAGAACCTCTATTATTTTGCAGCAATAGCAGAATGCTTGTCATGTGTTTCAAAAGATAAACTTAACATAAAACTGAGGTATAACTTGAATTTGCACATATATGACCCCTTCGGTTAACAAAGGGATTGTCACAGTGGGCATGATTGTCTACTATAGAAATAACTTCCCACAAAGACGGCTCCAGCACCTAAGGCTAAGCCCGGAGCAGCAGCCACTGTTCAACTTTGGTTTCACATAGAGTAAGGTGCTGCTGTCAGATAAGGAACAGGCCATTATGGAGATCCACATTCTCAGTCTCCCAAAATCCTTTCCTCCTTCACATTTACATCATAAGACACGCTGTGGTTTGTTATTGTACTATTGTGGCATACAAAATAAGATTACAGTTGATTATATTTTGGAAGAAAAGAGGCCTGGAATACAACGTAAAAAATGTGTTCTCCATGGAATATAATGTGTTTTATTCCATATTGTAGGGTTAGGGTCTGTTGGTAATAATGTAGCCAACAGAAAAACAAGCAGAACAGGAGGCCCTATCATTTTGTTTCCCTCTTCAGCACAATCAAAGAAAAACAAAAACTTTTTCACTATTTCGCTGAGTTAATTGAACCCATCTTGATAGTATAACTTTCTTCTGGAGGGGAATCCACACTTCATGAGCTTCCTGAAATGTAGTCATTTTGATTCATTATATTTACAGATTTTTTTGCTCAGAAACACTTGGTTCCTGCTGCTCCCTTCTTGCTGTGCTTATAATCTGCAACATGGCCTGGTGGCTGCATGCTTTACTCCACACAGAAACAGTATCCGTACTGCTACACATGGACCTATCACCGTAGAAAGTAAAATAAAGCAGTGTGTTAGAGAAAGGGAAAAAACAGTTTGTTGTAAATTTATACTAACGGGTTGTAACTGTATAGTCTTATCTGCCACAATCAGATCCCTTGTTGGAGCTGACCACGAAGTGTGCAATGGTCCCACATGAAACAACAGTGAATATGAGGTGTATTGTTCCCCTCCTTATCTCTAATTCAGGATGGCTCATGTTAGATGTTTGTACAAGCGCCCGTGGGCTTTCATGTTCTGCGCGAGCATGGGTGCAGTGGACAAACAATGAACAAAGAGGTCAGATTCACACAGACTGGTCTACGCCAAACATACTCTGCTGCACTGTGCTGCATGTGTGCATGGCTCTCCTGCTCGGCATCAACTTCACCCACAACAGGAGTACAGAAGAAACACACTAATACTCGCAAAAGGTGGCAACACACAATTAATCTGACACGAGAACACTGCTGCTGCCACTTTGAAATATAGTTTTCTTCTGGGCAGGGTAGAAATGTGCCGTCACAGATTTACGAGGGCATAAACGGAGAGATTTTCCTCCGGGGGAATCTAACACTGTATATTCTGCTTACCCCGTTTATGCAAATGCTATGTCAAGCTTCAATTGTGTTCATGTATGCATCTGTAGGAGCGCGAGCATGCTGAATTATAAAGAAGGTATTAGTATAGACCACTATGGAATAAAATAAAGTCTTTCCCGTAGTGTTGCATAAGTAAATCAGCAGTAAATCAGCCAATGCATGTGGATCATCTGCTTTACAAATAGAGATTTCTTCGCCTGAAATCTGTACTCATGGTGCCAATAAAAACTGTGGGGACAAAAAAAACAAAACATAATTTCACTTCAAGCTCGGCTTAACTTATAACACATAAGTGGCTCTGTGGTCTTCCCGAGTGTGGATGGGCTCGAAAATGGGAGCTTTCTGAACGCCCCCACGAGACATGCGGTTTTGACTAAATAGCACGTCCAATTAATTATTTGTTGAGAGAGAGAGAGAGAAAGAGACTCCGCTAAGGATGCTGCATGAGAGCGTCACCTGCCCTTTGCCCTGAGTGCTGGCCACTTGTTAGACACACACAGGAGCTGGAGATATGCGTATGGCAACAATGTGGAGCCATAGATAATAGGCTCAAAGGGCAGCCATCATTGGACACGTGCGGTGCTACTTGTGCTACAAAACAAGTTCACGGAGGGTAAAAAAGAAAAACAATCATATAACACCGCAGGCGATTACTATATAAACGCTCACATCTGTAACGGCCTGCTTTGTTCTGAAAGAAAAGTGAGCAACATCTAGATCAAATCACACGTTCAACTCTTCCTCTTAGAGATTGATTTTATGACGTGATTCAAGTTAAGTTGAATTATCCATTTCAAGACCTGCACAAAAACAGTATCATGCACTGCAAAAAGTGATGGGAAACAATCCAGAAATGGCTAAAAATCAGCAAAATGTGTCTTAATTTGAACACGTTTTTATTGCCTTGAAACAAGATTTGCCAATAGAACAAGCAAAATAATCTTGTTTTTAAGAAGATACAAGAAATATCTCCCTTAGAATGAGAAAATAAAGCAACAGTTCTTGACTAAATGGCTTGTCTCATTGGGAAAAAGACGGTTCGAATGTACTCAAATTCGGATAAAAACCACTTGGCTCAAGCAATTATTACCTCATTTTATCATTTTGCAGTGTAGTACAAACATATAACAGACATGGATGAAGGTAAAGCTCATACACTTCCAATCCCCCCCACCCATTCAAAACAAGATAATACAAGACAACATATTAACGCGCTATTTTTCTCTGTTCTGTGCAATAACACAGTATTCAAAATGCTCCTTAGGTATATACATTATTGAGCTTTTTATGTTCTTCCATACAAAGAATGGGGGAACTCGAATTGCCAATGTCAGCCCAGTGGATCGTCATCAAAGTTTTACACCAGTCCCTCTGAAGAACTTGCCGTGTGCAATGAACCGTAAGCACTACCGCCACTACTGTACATCAGACAGCAAACCAAGCAGAGATAATCCTCACCCAGAAGAGACTATGTCAAGGGAATCAATACAAATGATTTTCTCTCAAGGCTTTGTTATGTACTGTAATATGCATGAAAACGACAAGTAAAAGACATATATTCTGCTGCTGTCGCTACCATTTCGACAGGATACGGTGCTTGCTCGCTGTGGTTTGGGCTTTGCACTTTGAGGAACCACACTTGCATCGACTTTACTCACGCGGCTGCGCTTGTGAAAACTCCTGCATTGCTGTGAGAACTAAAGCGCGCCACATGGTATAAACGACAGTAGATTTGTCAGGATTTACAACATCAAATAGTCCGTACGTAGCGAGAGATGCGAGACGATGTGGTATAAATGCAATGCTTGGAAGTTTGACTGGTCTGTTTGACTATATTTTCAAAATGAAAGCTAATTTTGTTTCAGAGGATGGAAATTGCATAATAAAACAACAGCAGGCATCGGCAATGCAATATTGTAAACCATTTGGATACAAGCATCGCAGCTTACAATCCGTATATTCCAGCCATCCCTTCCTGCCTCCTCAATGCTGATCCTACCTTGAGTTCGGTGTAGCTTGTGGGCTCCCTCCGAGGCATTGCCCAAGACTGCGCACTCTTTTCCCCCCGCGTGGTTCGCTCAACAACAGCCCGCCTCCTCCAGCTCTCCTCTCTCAATCCTTCTGCCACCCAGCGTCTCCGTCTTCTGCCGTATAGTCACCGGCAACACTGCTTGCGATGCACTCTGCCGAGAGGGGGGTCTGCCAATGCAAGCCTGTGAATGTGAGGAGGAGGAGGAGGAGGAGAGGGAGAGAGAAGCAGAGGAGAGAAAGGGATGTAAATGTGCATCTGCTGTCTCCTAAATTCTTCTCATTGCCCAACATGCGTCAGAGAACGCTTGTCCCCAAGCATTTGCCTAATAAGACAAAGACATGCAAGTGAAGTGTATACGCCTATTTGCACAAGTCGCCAGTGTGTGAAGTGTGTTCTCAGTGGCTCACCGCATGGCTTGTTTTACTATGCAGCAAAAGGTAGAGTAAGAGGAAATGTCCTATGAACCAATGAGGGGCCGGATGTTGGGGGCTTTGTGGTGATTTATGCCATGGAGAAAACTGGGAAAGGGGGGATTGTAAGGTGCACTGTACTGTAATCAATTGCACTAAAACTGCAGTTGAGAGAAAAGCCCTGAGGTGTGAAAAGAGACAAAACAAGATGAGGATGGCGATAAGGCAAAACAAAGATACAACAAAGTGAAGATATAACAGATGAGAACAAAGATAAGCGCTGGGGCATGGAGAAAACAGAGGCATTTTGACCTTGCGTTCTATTTCTGTTGGGAAATTGGGAACAAGTCAGGAGCTACTCCACAAAATTCTCAATTATTCAGTTTAATGAGGGATGACGGTGATTTACTTATGTAACATTCAAGAAGGGTTAGGGTCTGTTATTGGAGCAGCAGCGAAGTATTCATACACTATATGTCAGTCAAAGCCACCATATGCTATGTGATTACATAATACATGGCAATCATTAATAAATTAGCATACAATTCAAATATAAATTGGTTCAATAGTTCAAAGTGAACTGTGCATCTAATACACATATATGCCACTCTTGAAATACAGAAGATGGCTATAGCTGTAAGCCAGCACCAAAATCCATTATGCATATCTCTACACTCTTTATGGGTTAGTGTGGCAAACTTTGCGTGAGTAGAATGATATTTAATGAAAAAATGGTTTTGCGTCACAAGTTTGTCTTTGTTGTTGTAAATTATATCTATTTTGCGACCAGTTAAAGCTAGGGTATGCAGTGTTTGAATGAGAATTTATGAAACAATGAACCATGGTGAATGGTCGTGGGTTCGATCCCACTACGACCCATGTCAACTGCTCCCACTGATGTCTGCTGTCGTTGTGTCCCTGGGCAAGACACTTAACCCCAATGTGCCTGAAGTCCCCGCTGAAAGACCAAGGCTGCATCTGTGTCGAAGGAGCAGCCATCTTCCCGTGGACCCACCACCTGCAGGAAGATCAGCAAGGGACTGGTGCTGTGTGAATTGAGTGGCAGTTCTGATTGCCACCCCCCTGACCCAGAAATGGAAAATAAAGGGATGTAAATGAAATGAAATGAAATGAAAATGGTTTCGTGTCACAAGTTTGTCTGTAAATTAGCTAGGGTACGCAAAGTGTTTTAAGGATCACCTAATTTTGCCTGTTCCTTCTCGAATTATGATACCCAAATGGAAATGACTATTTTGTGGACATCTTGTGTCTGATGTTGTGTTATGATGCCTCATTTGAAAGGTATCACACACAAGTGAATTCTAATACTGATGCTGTTAAATTAAAATGATCCAAATCTATCTGAATATCTAAATGAAAATAAATCAATAAATAAATAAATAAATGAATCCTCCCTGTAGGGAGGGTGATCCTTAAACGGTTAAAACATCGTAAATTCTGTTATGGTATACTCAGAACTTTAAAACCAAAATGAACTGTACACTTTCCTCAGAAAAAAAGAATATATTTGAACCATTGCATAATTGTCGGGAACAGCCATGTTTATCACATTTTGACAGCTTCAGGTGAGAGTTGATTGTCAATCGCTACTCCTTTGTAAGCTACTGCAGTCACCACTGCCCTACGGCAATCTGATGTAAGACAGCCTGCCTCATTCACATGTACACCACCAATACAATGTGAGGCAAGTGTCCATACACAAACTGAACTTTTTTTTCAGTCGCTTTGATGCTGCCCCTGACACCTCCCCCACCCCCCACTACTCTAACGACCCACCCATCAGCCCTGCCCTCACCCTGACAATTGCCTCTAAAGATATTAAACAACTCTTCTTGAGGCTTGAAAGCTCCTGGCCCGGACCACGTGTCTCCGGCCACTCTGAGACACTGCGCCAGTGAGCTTACTCCGGTCTTCACTGACATTTTCAACACCTCTCTGCAGTCCTGCCATGTCCTGGCCTGCTTCAAATCCTCCTTCATTGTCCCCGTCCCGAAGAAGCCCAGGATCACAGGACTCAATGACTACAGACCTGTAGCACTTACGTCTGTCGTCATGAAGTCATTTGAACTCCTGGTCCTCTCCCATCTCAAGTCTCTCACCTCCCCCCTCCTGGACCCCCTGCAGTTCGCCTACAGAGCCAACAGATCTGTAGACGACGCCATTAACCTGGCCCTCCACCACATCCTACAGCACCTGGACTCCCCGGGGACCTACGCCAGGGTCCTGTTCGTGGACTTCAGCTCTGCCTTCAACACGATTCTGCCATCCCTGCTCCAGGACAAGCTCTCCCAGCTCAACGTGCCCGTTTCCACCTGCAGGTGGATCACTGACTTCCTGACAGACAGGAAGCAGCGAGTGCGTCTGGGGAAGAATGTCTCAGACTCTCGGATTATAAATACAGGAGCCCCACAGGGCTGTGTTCTTTCTCCCCTGCTCTTCTCCCTGTACACCAACCACTGCACCTCCAGCCACGACTCCGTGAAGCTGATCAAGTTCGCGGACGACACCACCCTCATTGGACTCATCTCCAACAACGATGAGTCTGCCTACAGGCTGGTGTCCTGGTGCAGTGGTAACAACCTGGAGCTGAACGCCCAGAAGACAGTGGAGATGATTGTGGACTTCAGGAAGAGCACTGTCCCCCCACCCCCACCCTCCGTGATGGACTCCCCCATCACCTCTATGGAGTCCTTCCGTTTCCTGGGCACCACCATCACCCAGGACCTCAAGTGGGAGCCGACCATCAGCTCCCTCATCAAGAAGGCCCAGCAGTGGATGTACTTCCTGCGGCAGCTCAGGAAAGCCAAGCTGCCTGCACAGATGTTGGTGCAGTTCTACACGGCCATCATCGAGGCCATCCTCACCTCCTCCATCACCGTGTGGTTCACTGGAGCCACAGTCAGGGACAAACAGAGACTACAGCGCATTGTGCGCTCTGCAGAGGAAGTGATCGGCCGCAGCCTTCCATCGCTGCAGGACCTGTACGTGGCCCGAGCTCGAGGCCGGTCTGGTCGTATCACAGCCGACCCCTCTCACCCTGCACATGGACTATTCCAACCACTCCCCTCAGGCAGGATACTGCGGTTCATCAGGACTAGAACCTCCCGCCACAAGAACAGTTTCTTCCCCTCTGCTGTTGGACTCTTGAACACTTCTTAACCTGTCCCCCCGCCCTTTATAAAGTCACTTTACTGCCCATCATACGTCACTTTACTTCACTGTACTGCTGTCACCTTACATTGTGTGCACCATGTGCACTTGTATATTGTAAATAGTAACTGTAACTGTATTTTAAATTTAAATTTATTCCTTAGTGATTTTTATTCTTTGTATTATCTCTCTCTGACTGTTGCACTGAGCCAACGCAATTTCCAAGTCTGTGACTTCCTGTTACTTACGTGGCAATAAAAATGATTCTGATTCTGATTAAACATCCAGGTCCTGCAATGCTTAGCTTCATGGGTCTAATGAGATAAAGTTTTGACTAGCATATTTTTTTAATAATATGTAAATCATGGAAATTACTATTTGCATAAGAGTCAAAAGACCTTATTGCAACAACATCAATGCATAGTGTTGATATTCTGAAGGAGTTTCATTCATTTGTAATAGTGCATGTTTCTTCTTAGTGTGGCATCCAGTGATTAGTGGATCAATAAGCGCTCTTACAGAAGCGGACAGAGGAGGCGACAATGGCTTCATGGCTTTGTGATGTTATCTGCACGGCTCTGAGAGGAACCGACTGGAGACTCTTTTGCGGGAGAAGGGAGGGGCTGAGCACACGACACAGAGTGATGAGTGCAATGATAAGAGGGGGAGGAGAGCTCAGATCTGCTCCTCTGTGCTACATGATACCGTACGCCTTAATCATCCACCACACTGCGCTCATAATACAGAAATGTATCGTTTTGAGTCAAATGGTGAAGTTATAACACTTTCAGACAATAACAATTTTAATTTGGCCTTCTATCTTAAAGTTCCTTTTTACATTATTTAGTAAAAGACGATATAGAACTTTGGAAGAACCTTTGTCGATGTAGGAGGGTCTACTGTAAGGACAGTGGTGATGATCCAGGACATTTATGGACATTTATTAACATTTATGGGCAGTGGCCCTCCGCTCCCTATTGAACCAATTGCTCCGGTGTTACATTTCCTCAGTTCGATCTGGTTGATTCTCAGATCTGTTTAGCAAATCAACAATTTTGCAAAGTCCTTCAAGACTACTACGGTTGTGAATTATGGCTTTACCAACATTAATGTAATCGGATTGAAGTCATATCAGTAAAAATATATAATATAAATAGAAATGTACATCTCCACTTGAAAATTGAAAGAACATTGGACAATTTACACTGACAGTGAACACACCATGAAACACACATACAATCTTTGCTCAAACAAAACTTTTGTTGGTTGCAATTAAATTAAATTGTACTGTTCCACATTCCATTGATTGTACTCCCCCTAGCACCGTGTTTGGTAACTTGAGCACTATCCTCTCCTCCTTCCTACTTTATCTATTTAGCATTATTAGGATTTTGACTGTAGTTTGTTCATTGCTATTCACCCGTTGTCCCATTGTCTGTTTCATGGTACGATGACGGGATCTCTGAGCCTGGCCTCTTCCATCTACACCTGCGGACTGCCCCGCCCGACCCGCCTGGGAGTGCTTCGGTCCTGCACCGGACCTGTCCACGTTCAGCGGCCACTGGTCCACGTTCTGTAGCTAGCTTAGGTCCTAGATCATTAGCCTGTCCGTCCGGAGGAGCGGATCCCTTTCTCAAATGGGTCTCCCTCCCTGTGGGTTTCCCTAGTTCTCCCCAAGATTTCTCACTTTTTCCCACTGGGTTTTTTAAGAGTTTTTCCTTGTCGATGCAGGAGGGTCTTGTTGGACAGTTAGTGTCCAACAGAAAGGATTGGTGATGATCAGGACACTTTAGCTTTAGATTCTCTGACCTGTGTTGGTGATTTCAATGGTTTTGTTAAGTCCTCTGAGATGACTTCTGATGTGACCTAGGGCTAAACAAGAATATATTGTATTGTGTATTGTACCTCTTTTGGCACCGATCTGCTGGGACTGGGACTCAGGGACATTTATTCTTTCTAAGTAAGTAAGTAAGTAATCTTTATTTATATACCGCTTTTCACAGACTAGAGTCACAAAGCGGTTTACAATTGTTATTTTTTGGGCATTTGTCCTCTCACTCCACACAGAGAGATGGGAGCGGGGTCGCCAGCACATGAGGCGCAAGCTTATTGTACACATTTTTAGTGGTAGGGGAAACTGGAGTACCCGGAGGAAACCTACTGTACGCAGACACGGGGAGAACATGCAAACTCCACTCAGAAAAGCCCTGGTCCGACCGGGATTCGAACCCAGGAACTTCTTGCTGAGAGGCGAGAGTGCCATCCACTCAGCCACCGTGCCGCCCGGAGGAGGGTCCCCCCTTTTTTTTCTCCGCTTTTTTCACCGCGGTAAAGTGGCCCGGCATTTTTCCACACATTAAAAGCGGGTTGCAGCTTTTTGCTGTTACTTACGGTAAAGGTGGAACAGGAAGCCGAGGGGATGAGCAACCAAAATGCAATGTTTAAAATGAATCATCATTCATGAATGAATGAATGAATGAGTGAACAAGTGCGCAGTGAAAGTAGTTGCAAAACTTAAATTTGTTTATGAATTTTAATAGCCACATATAATCAGTAACATCAGCAGCTTTTTACCATCTAAAAAACATTGCCAGGATCAAAAACATAGTGTCTAACGCAGACTTGGAGATTCTTATCCATGCATTTGTCTCCAGTAGGTTGGACTACTGCAATGGCCTGCTCACAGGTCTGTCCAAACAGGCTGTAAAACAGCTGCAGTACATTCAAAATGCAGCAGCTCGAGTCCTGACTAGAACCAGGAAGTACGACCACATTAGTCCAGTTCTCAGGTCTCTGCACTGGCTTCTTGTGGCTCAGAGAATAGACTTTAAAACAGCTCTGCTTGTGTACAAGTCTCTCCATGGCCTCGCACCAAAATATATTAGTGACATGTTAGTCCCATATGAACCAGCCCGGACTCTGAGGAGCACAGGGACTGGACTCCTGTTAGTGCCCAGAGTCAGAACTAAACATGGGGAGGCTGCTTTTCAGATTCATGCTGCTAAAATCTGGAACAGTCTTCCTGAAGATATGAGACAGGCCTCCCCTCTTTAAAACCAGGTTAAAGACAGTTTTGTTTAGCTGTGCATACAACTGAGGGATTTTATCTTTTTATCTTTCTTTTTAATGTTCTGTGATTATTTATGATTTTAATGCTTTCTTATTTTGTTCAGCACTTTGAATTGCCTTGTGTATGAATTGTGCTACATAAATAAACTTGCCTTGCCTTGCCTAAAACCTCTCTACAAACGTCTAAAAACAGCTAACTCTGTAGCATCCAGGTAGCTTTCAATGCTATAGTGCCACCCGGCCACGTGACCGGAGCGGAAAAACTATAAACAACGACGTCACTCCAAGATCCTCCTATTAGAAGGGATCTAAAAGGAACGATTGTCTCGAAAAGGTATGCCTCAGAAAGCATTGGTCCCACATGACCCTCTGATCTGACAGTTATCATTTGTTTGTCTCCATGGAAATATGGTATTATTGTTTTGTCCAATGCTTGAGAAGAAAAAATACCAAAAAAAAAAATAGAACAGATCTAACCAGTGGCGTGGTAACTTCTCCATTAAAACTAAGCTTAGAAGGGATTGCTTTGCATGAACTTCAGGCAAAAGATTACATCCTGATTTGATGGACTTTGTGAAAACCTGCTAATTAGAACTGCATATATTCTGTGACATTTTCTCATCTTTAAATCCAAAGTTTGAAATGGTTGCATAACGCTCCTTTGTTGAAATGACACAAGTAGAATATAATGTGTAACCCGGTGTAAAAAAGAGAATAGATAGAGAAAAAGGTGATGCTGTGAGAGTTCTATGGGGCCTCGTGGTCCTTAGTGTCCAGTCCTGTGACATTACATTATGGAGCATCAAGATCGAGCTGTTGTAATGAGAAACATGGGATTTGACCACAGGCAGAGGGGTATGGGGTCACGTTCCCAGGATACACTAATGCTGGACCAGGCTCCTTATGATGGTGATGTTCATTATTTACTGTACATATAAAAATCTATGTGCACGATGTAGTCTACAGTTCAGCGGTGTTACCCTGGAGGTTACATGATTATCGATCAAAGATTCTCCAAGATTGCCGCCATGCTTTCAAATGAAGATGAGTATGTTGTAAAAAATAATCTTATAATAAACTCTCTTTAGGTATTTTCCCACATTAATCATTTCGAAGGAACAATAGCAGTTTGCACCACTTTGAAACAATGAGTTGTATTAGAAGTAATTTATACTTCTAATACAGTAGAAGTGCCAGTAAAACGTCCTGGCAGTTCTATTGATAACAGTATTGATTGAAGACTGGGCTTGAATACTTATTATTCGATTATTTAACGAAGATATGAGATTATACGGTATCAAAACTGTTCTGTCTGGGGGATTTAAAATTTTATTTGAAAAGTTGAAAATAATACCTTTTGAATCCAAATCTATCACAAAAGAAACTTCCAAAAACACAACTCTTGCACTTGTTTTGTGTTGTAGCATTTTTCATTGGTGTTGTTCCGAAGCGTTTCAAATGCATTTCCTTTCATTCTTTCTTTCAGGGCACAAACATGGAGCTTTACAGGACGTAGTTGGATCTAAACCAACACAAAACCCTTGCTAATCTTTCGCATGGAGGATGCAACAGCATGCTTTTGGGACTGATTTATTATTCAGCACTTGAGGCATTTACATATGAACTAAAGCAAGCTCTATGTTCCCATCACAGCAGGAAAGAGCTATTCTTAGTCTTTCTCCTTCACACACACAGATATAGTAAAGTATGCATGCATTTTTCTGCAAACCCCATCTTAATAGTAGAAATGGTAAGACAAAAATACTGTATGCAGTGAATAATTGATTGGTCGGTAACAGTAGAGAGTGATGAGAAGAGACCGCAGAGGTTTTCCTGGGGGTCAATATTTCTGTGAAGTATGCCTCATTCAGACGTCACTAATGAAAGAGAATGAACCAGTCCAAAGGCCATGGAAAGGTGACCAGATGGTTTCATTACTGTACTTTCTGAACTATAAGGTACAACTGTATATATAAGCTACACCACCTACATTTGAAAATAAAATCCATTCTGTCCACACATAGGCTGCGCTGGAATATAAGTTCTTGTTGTAATGTAACAGATAGATGACTGTTTAAATGGTCATAACATGCTTTAATGACAAGGAGTTTAACAGTTATTATTTTCTATGACTCATTCACTATCGTCTATTTTGACAAAAAAGAGGTGTGCTATAGCGATTAAAACTTGATTGAGTCCATAAACTCTGCTCTGTAAACTCACAATAAGAATACATGTATTAGCTGCATCACTATTTAAGCCGCAGGGTTCAAAGAAGTGGGAAAAAGTAGCGGCTTATTGTATAGAAATGATGGTACTTAAAAAAAAAGTACTGGTGCTGCTCTATTGTCAAAACTTTTTAAAACATTTAGTTTTATTCTGTGGAACGTCACCTCACTGGGGGGGAAGGAGCCCGAGCTCGTGGGGGAGGTTGAGCGATACCGACTAGAGATAGTCGGCCTCACCTCCACACACAGCTTGGGCTCTGGAACCCAACTCCTTGAGAGGGGTTGGACACTCCACTTTTCTGGAGTTTCCCGCGGGGAGAGGCGTC